AGAGAAAATTGAGAGAGTCGAACTGAAAATATTTTGTGTATATCATTTGTGGGTGGCTGACTGGGAGTTTATTGTATTCGAGTCGGATTCTTTATTTCTACATATTTTGTGAATGGGGAAGTTGGGATAGAAATTGAGAACATTTTTCCACATTAAATAAAGAGCAAAAAAGCCACTTAGTTCTCTCACTGAGCAAGAGAGACGACAGAAAAAGGAACAAAAAGGAAATATTTTAAATAACATAACTTGGTTGTTGAACATATTCCAGTGTTATGTCATTATTTGCTTGATGAAACTTTTTTCATTCTCTTGCCAAGAAAAAAAAAGCTCATTGGTGACAACTTTGCGGTAGTTGATGTACTTTGTTGAGGATGACAATGGATTGGAGGGTTGGAATTGCATATTTTTATCGATGAATGGATTTTTTGGGAATTTGTTGTGAATTTTCATGCTTAAATGGATGGAGTGAATTGCTTTAATGATGATTTTGATGGGGTTTTTGGATTATTTAGTCTGGCAGGGTTGGAATGTTCATCCTAGGAGTAGGTTAGCTATAAAATGAAAGATAGGGAGCAAGGGGGAAGGGGGGTCTTGGCTAATTTGATTCTAATTTGGGTTTTAATGTTCTTGCTCTAAAAAAGATTGGAACAAAATTTTAAAAATGTCCGAAAACCAGCTGACATCCATCCCTTAAAACTATATATCCATAGCATTCATGTCCCCCCTTTAAGATCCCATCACACAACATTTTCTCACCAACATTTGTCTCAACAATTCTGAAATAAAAAAGTTTATACTATAAGGAAATAGCTTCTCAAAACATGGTCGATACTAGTCGTTGTGTTATATATACATACAAGCTCACCATTATGTACAAAGCGCAAGCACAAAAGGCACTCGAGACCGAAAACCGACTCAATATATTTGATTTTTATTTTATACATAGATGAGAATGAAAATGAAAATTATGTGCTGAAATAGGTAAAATATGTACTATATAAAATGGCAATGGCACAATGGAGAGTGAGAGAAATGGAAATATATATAAGCAGTATGAGAGAGTAAGGAAGAGAGATTATAAATAACAAAATAGAGCAATATTGATGTGCTTTAGGGGCTTCTGATTTTGATATTATCAGATTAGGAAATTCCAATAGATTATTTTTGAGCTGAGAAAATTTCATTTAATGCCTGCACAATTAAGGAACACTTAATTGAATGTTTTCAATCATTAATGTCATTATATGAGTAAATTATAATCATTATTACCGAAAAATGACAAATAATTGAGTAATTTTTAATTAAAAATTTCACACAGCTATACAGAAGATGAGTCACAAAGCAGAAGTGTGAGCGTTAACGAATTTTTCCACAATTTTAAAAAGCATCATGCGATTACTCAACTGAGAATTTATCGGATTTAATTATCATTTTATTATTTTGCAAATGTCAACAGAAGGTATCATTTCAATATAATAAAGCCTGAATGTGCCAACAACATCAGTAAATTATTGGGGTCGAGTGCGTGCCTCACACCCATCCTCATACCCCCTTACTCTATCTTTCTCTCTTAATTCTGATTTCCATACAACTCTCGTGTTTATGTACTCACCACTGAAAATGAAAATTGCCTCATCACATTGAGCCATGGTCGTATTATTATTATTGTTATATTGCTGTTGCTGTTGCTTAATAAAATAAATAATAAATTTAATTCTCAGAATGTCCATTAATACAATACGCACAATTGTTTCTGTGCCTTGTTGTTGGATATAGAAAATAAAACTATCAAAATTTCAGATTGTAGGTGTATGAAAGTAACTATGTTGCTTGTTGGCGTTGTGCATATTGTTTTAATTTATCTATAATTTATTTATCGTTCATTGTAGCTTTGGTTTGCTTTAGCTTGAGTATAGGTTTCTGGCAGATTGGAAGGATAGATACTTAAAATATCAAATTCATATCTAGTTTTTTAAGTTGAAAAATAAAATAAAACTAGGATTTCGACATTTTAATTTTAAAACTAGCATTTAAAAAAATGTTACTAATTTGAATTCCAAAGGTCCGTTATTATTTCAAATCTTAAAAGACGTTAATATTTTAAAAACCGTTGGATTTCTAAAACCCGTTTTAAGTTTGACTTTTGAAAAGCCGTTAAAAATTCAAAAAATTTAAATTCCATTAGTAATAATTTAAAAACCGTTAAAAATCAAAATTTGAAAACTGTTAAAAATTCATGACTCCTCATGAAAAGGAGGAAACAGCGTTTCCTAAAAATATCCCAAAATAATTTTCCAAACTTGATTTTTTTTCATAAATTCACATAGTTTGGACACACAGAATACACACAGTGTGGAGGTGAAAAACATTGAAACAATAATAAAGCAATGTACAATATTGATTGTAGCTCATTCCATTTCAATCCGTTTCCTCACTCCATGTCGACTTTATTTTTATTTTCATTTATAAAATGTGCTTATGTATGACTACATAATTCAACTTTCGATAGGAAACTTATTGGCATAATCAAATGGTAAATACACAGCATAGCATAGATATAAATATTGTATATGGAAATTTATACATACAAATTAAATGCAATTGGATGACATGGCAATTTGTTATTGTTATCATTGATGGTTTCGATTTTTTTTTATTTTTATTTCATTTTTCATATCCCCAAAAAAGGGGTTAAAGATTTAATTTTTTGTATCAACAATTTTTATTTCGAGGATATTTTCAATTCCACAAAAAAATCAATGACTTATTTAGGGGAGTGTTAAAGTGACTTACTGGTTGTTTTTGGGAGTCATATATTGATTTTGATTGGAATTAAGAATTTATTAGTAAAGCACTGAAATATGGCTAGAGTTATGATGAATTTATATTGGAAGTAAACAATTTAATTATATAAAGCTAGAGCAAGGTAGTCAAAGATCCCCAAAGATTATTTATTAAGCAGATTTGGTGCCAATTAACATTTATCTCTGAAGTCCTTCTTGTTATTCAATATGTAGGGCCATACCGTTGATAGAAAGAGACTGTTCGGACGACCATAGAGTTCCTTGGCGATTGGTTGAGAGTAGCCAGTGACAGAGTCTTTTTCAGACGTCAACTAACGGAGGCTATTAGTCACAATTGATCTGTAAAGCCAGCGATGTATGTATGTAGGGCCATACCGGCTTAGATTGGAAAGACTCAGCCCTCAAGTCAGTCAAAATGATTATGAAGTTTTCTTTGGATTAGCTTGATGACTAATTCACAATTATATTTCAGGTCAGTATCTATTTTGAGCTAATCGAACTAAAATCAATCCTTCCTCAAATGCGCTCAATACTCAAAATATCACCAATTTCCATAAATCGAACTGTAATTATTATTAAATACATTCCAATCTACCTGCTAATAAATAAATTTCAAAAAACCATCCAAAAGTAGATAAAAAGTTCAAAACCACATGAAAAAAATTCCTCACTGGCACTGATTGATCAACAGCATAAAAAAAAGATTATTTGTGACTCAAAATCAATGAAAATATTTTATGTATGTGGCGTAAAAATGCTTTGATTTGACCACATAATATATAAAGAGCATCGGTGTGATATTCAGTTCCATAATGCATATTCCATGCTGTATTTTGAATTTTTTTAAAAAAAAAAGTTTGTGCGTGTGTAGTTATAAATAAAATACGAGGATGCTCCATATCAGCTCACATATTGTGGATGTGCAAATTTTGTGTCTGTGTGGTAAAAATTGAAAAAAAAAGTGCTCACTCTTTTGTAAAACTGTTGAGGGTTCATTTACAGCATGCCACAGCCGATAAATTTTATCGTAAAAATGCAAAAATTTTGCAAATGTTATTTTTTTCGTCCATTCATAGCCGTTTTATATGGTGAAAAATGTATGTATATGCATGCCTTTATCAGTTGTTTAAAAATGTTGTGCATCTGTACCAAATTATGGCTTTTCATCTCATTTATACGTGCAGCAGGGGTGGGATTGATGAGAATTTAATGAAGTTTGATAAATTAGGGAGATAAATTGGCTGTCTTTACTAGCTTGCCTACCTATTCTATACTAAAAAAAGCAGTTAAGTGCCTTGCTGGTCGAATAGGTAAGGCGCTTGGCTCAAATTTGGTATGGTAACTCGAAGGTCGTCGGTTCGAATCCAGCCATTTCCAAATTTGTTCTTTTTCAGAAGTTTAGATACTTCGACTGCTTAATGTACGAGTCAAGCCATAATTGGGCATTTTGGGCAACGTTGGATTAAGGAACGGATCAGGAACGGATCAGGAACTTGAAGTGTAGCGGGAGAAATAGGAACGAGAGCTACAAGATTACCTTATAATGGAATATTGTCAGAACGGACCTGAAATGTATCACGTCACGCCCACAGAAGATTGAAACGAGAGCCTTAGTTTATTTGAAACCTGGATTTGAAGATTAGAAGCTTGATTCTACGTCACCCATAGTGATATGAAATGTATCACTAATCAATGTAAAAAGTAAAAACATGTATAAATACTAATTCTTCCGGACGGTAACGTCGACAAATAAATAATAATAAAAATATACTCTAAGGGATCGTTCACTTATGACGTCTGAAATTACCGGTCATTTTTCAAAAAAGAACAATGGATTTCCCGGAATTTCTATTGTTCTTTTCTTGCTGACCCCCCCCCCCCCCCCCCCCCCCCCCTCCGAACGTCATAAGTGAACGGTCCCTAACCTTAATCGTCCTTGCGTAAGTCTCATACACACTAGCCGTGAGTCAAGAATTCTTTCATACTGTTCTTTATCTACGTTCTGTATGTACATTCACACAAACTTCTGTATAATTAAATGCTCTTCTTGTGTCCTCTGGTACCCTCTTAAACCCAACCTACACATTTATTACCCATTTAAATACAACAACAAAGTTCCACATCGAGACCTAACCCCTTATCCCAGAAAATAAACCCGATTATACATCTGAATAAAGAGATAGATAATGCATTTTGTGGTCATTTATTGAAAATTTTCAATTTATTGCTTCGCATGCACAAATACACAATCAGGCAACAACAAAATACTCGCACAAGGAAAATCAATCGACATATTTTGCTACTCATTAAAAAAATTATAATTTTCATTTTGTAGACTTTTTTTCTCCCGACTGCTCTTTTAGATGCGTGTAATAGACGGCAGCTTGCGAATGTGGATATTCTGGTACAGCTAATGGCGTTTTTCCATCCTGCATGAGGATATTTTTATATGATACATCCCAAAGCCTTTTCATTTTCAATTTTTCTGCAATTTTCATTGAATAATCACTCGTACAATCCATTCTGGCATAAGAGAAATTAAGGTCACGTCCTAAATCTAATGAGCGTTTAACTAATTCGGTTCCAATTCCGCGATGATTGAACTTGTTGTTTATGGCTACTAATCCAATTTCGAAGATGCTGTTGAGTTCTAATTCTTGATGTATTTTTGGCTCGCGACTCATTAAAGCCCAAATGTAAAGAAGCTTCTTCGTACTTCCATCTTGAACTTGCTTTGCATATTCTTCAAGCTTTTGTGCATCCCACGGACAATTTCTGTTGTTTATGCAAGCGCCTACAATCTTATTTTCATTTCCTTCTCGTGCTATAATTGTCATTCCATGACGTAAGGAATCTCTCAACAATAATTCTATTGGACCTTCACATTTTCCTTTTGATGTATTAATGCACAAGCTCCTACAAAGTGGATCTTCTCGAAAGAAATTTTTCGCAATAAACTGCAACGTTGGATCGAATTCAGCACTCTTGACAAGCTCAAATTTCAAATTTATTGGCTCATCTTGCTTCCTTGGCGTTAAAATCGATGAAATGAAGTATTTTGATGGATGTTTTGTTGCGGTTGTTGAATAAAATGTAATGATATTAAATTTTGATTTCAAAGTATTCACAAGACAATTTGAAAACATTCTTATACTTGATATGTGATCCAGAAACTCTTTTTTCGGTGACTTAAATTTTGATGTTGACGAAAGAAATTAAAATAATTAAATCAAATCTGAATCAAATCAATGATTGCTTTGATGAATAAGAGTTTAATTTTGAAATAAATAGTTTGGAGACTTGGTATTTTCATAATTGACAATCAGCTCGTGGATCTTAAAATACTTGAATTTGTGTCATTATCGAATTTTTTAAAAATCAATTAAAAATAATTAGGGGCCATTCACTTATTACGTTCGTTTTTTAAGGGGGAGGGAGGGGGGGGGTTTGAAAAAGTTGTAACAAAATGTAACTTAGGGGGGGGGGGGGGTGTTCAAAAAAATTTGTTTACAAATTCAAATCAAAAATATTTTTTTTAAATTTTCCACCTATTTAATGATAAAATAAATTATGAACGTTCAAGGTAGGGGGGGGGGGGGGGGTTGTGAGTTGTAACATATTGTAGGGGGGTAATAAAAGTCGTTTTTTGCGTAACGTAATAAGTGAACGGCCCCTTATAATCATTGGTACTTTTATTCATTACATTCAGTATTAAGTCAGTTAAGTTGACTTTTTCTTTTCGTACGGAAGTGTAAGATCCCCATTCCTCCTAATAATTCATGAACGAACTCCCAATTTTGAATAAAAATTGAATGTTGTAATATTCTGGATTAATAATTCAAAAAAGACAGTTTCAGGCTTAATTAGTTCTCATTAATTTAATTTATAATTACAATCTATGATATATTTAGGCTGCTCTTGATTTTAAGCCGCCTTCTATAAAGCGTAGAATTCAGTTATCGTTGAGATTTTCTAAAGAAATGAGGCAGGAACTTAATCACCAAGTTAAATTTTTAAAGTTTTGTGGGATTCTTGAGCGAAATCCACCCAGATGGATAAAACTTATAAAAATTTATCGATGGTTTGTAATTTTTATATCATCATACACAACAGTAATGCTGGCAACTTTTATTGCTCGGAACTATACCAATGTCTTAGGTGTTGCTGAATGTATTGCCCCGCTTGTTGCATGTAGCTTTACGCTCATTAAATATCTATTTTTGCTGATTAATTCTGAAGAAATATTTGACATGATTAAGGAAATTAAAGAGTTGAATGGAAAATGTGAGTAATTGCTGTACATCATTTATTAATGAACCCTAAAAAAATTTTTGTTTAAAGGGAAAAACACAAAATTGTACTCAGAAATTGAAAAGTTTAACGCATTAGATCGACGTCTTATGAAAGTGATGGAAGGATTTTGCATTGCTTCTATTATAAGCTACATCCTGCCTCCTATGATTAACCACATCTACATTTCTTTCATCTTAAATGAAGAGAACTATGATATGCCCTATAAAACTGATTATTTTTATGACATTTTCAAATATCGAGCATATGAAATGACCTTCTTTATACAAGCTTGTTTGGGCGTGTATGCTGCAACATTGCATGTATGTTTTCATACTTACAAAATTCTATAGATACTTAGTTTCCTTATTTTATAGGTTCTCGTCGACACTCTATTTTTCGGACTGTGCATGAACGTTTGTGCTCATTTAAAAATCATACGACAAACCATGAATGAAAGAAGTTTAAAGGAAACTGTGTCTTATCATAACCGAATTTTTGATCTGATTGCAAAAATGAACAAAGTATTCAGTGCCATTTTATTTGGAGAGTATGCATTCTTATCACTTCTTCTTGGCGTAAATGGATTTTTAATTGTAATGACAAATGACATATCCATCAGAACTGCATGCTGTATCCATGGAACAACGGGTGTAATTGAGCTACTTATTTATTCTTACAGTGGACAAAAAATAATAGATTATGGTCAAGAGATCTGTGACGATTGTTATGAGATTGATAAAAATTATCTGATTGTTATGCTGAGAACAAAGCACAAGTTAAGATTGTACTCATTGATGTACGATGCATGCTTACCTACAGTTACGTTGATCATGAATCGGGTAATGGCAATGATAACTTTGTTGCGATCTTTAGCTTAAGAAATATATTTGTGGACGGTTCACAAGAAGCTTCGTACTGAGTCAAAAATCTAATATTCTTCAGTTTTCAATTTAATCGAGCTTAAAAATAATCTCACAACACAGCATGATATCTAAATAAACCACACACGCATGCAAATTAATCGCTTGCTAATGAGCCTTAATGTTCATTTACTCATTAATTAATTGAAACGTATGTAATAATGCGAAAAAAAATCAGATTACACATGTTCATCGTTGACTGTTTCTATCTTCCTCATTTCATCTCAACTGCTTCTATCTCACTTCCCATTTTGTGGCTTTTATGCACACAATTTTTTTCTACTTTTCTTCCATACGGCTTGCGGTAATTATAATGAGTTAAGCAAAATAATATGCATGTAAATATGCAGTTTTACAAAATTGAAATGAGAGTGTAAGTAATACTGTTCGATGCACCTTCTATTGTGTACTTGCATGTATTACACATGTTGTTATGAACATTTATTGATTTGAGGTAAAATGAATTAAGTATGAAGCTGTATAATGCGCTGGAATTTGTTGTAAATTAAGCAATTTTTAGGTGTATGGAACCTCAAAATTTTTATCTTCTTTAGCTTACTTCCCTTTTTCTGTATTCTAAGAACACATCACGTTTTATGTACCGAATGGAAAGCACACGGCAATTACGAACATACATTGTTTACATTTATGCATACTTTATGTTTATTTACAATGTGTGGTGCAATAAATCGTGTGCACAAGATGTCATGAAGAAGGTGCTCATATGTTTGCATACATTGTTGTATATACTGCATCAATAGGGGTTCGCTTAAGTGTCAACAATTGATCTTATTATGTGGGTATGTTATTTATTTTAGAATTATGTAGGATCATTCGATATGTTTCATTATTGGTTATTTCAATCGATTGATCTCCCCGAATGCTCCATAAGTTCCGATTTTTGCTTTAGATTGGTACAGTTTGGGAAGCAGAAGAGGTGCTCAGACCTTCTCATCTAAGCTTTTGTTAATTTCATCCAAAAATGGCTTGAAATTAAACTTAATGACATTTGGGGACAAATCCCTTAACGTAAACATAAATTTCTTTATTTTGCAAGGGTTTTTTTTTTTGAAAAACTCACAAAATTAACCCCCCCCCCCCCCCCCCTTAAATTTTTCTATACAAAAAATATTTTGTCTCCTTATCTTCAAATTCCTGGCTACGCCCCTGCCTAGAACCCCCTCTCATAATCCTACACAGTCCATCAAGCACTTCAAAAGACTTTCTTTTCCGTTAATCCTTAAATTCAATAACTTCACTAATTGCTTAAGCGTGTATCTCACCTAAAATTAAAGATTTACATGCACAATATCCATAACCCAGTACAGAAGAATACAGTTTAATCCCCCAAAATTCAATAAAAAAAATATCTTAATTAATTCCACATTACAATTCCAACTTATCCAATTAATTCATAAGTTATGCATGCACATAAAGTGCAAAATCACAGCAAATGACATTAAAATTATTTTTTTTTTATTGAATCGCTTCTGAGAATTTTTTTCATAATGTTTTTGCATCCACAGACAATGTGGGACGCATTTTAATGTAAATAAATTGCCACTTAAACGACTTGTCTGCATTTCACTTAATTTTTTTTTCTCCTCAACTTTTTTTTCAATGCTCGCAAAACGGCTCACGAAAAGAAGCATGAGTGTGCGCATCCTATTAAGTATAAAGTGCTCAATCATTACTGATTGCACTTTGTGCCACCAATATATTGTTTGTGCTTACATGACAATGTAATGAAATGTGAATGCGTAATGCCTTGAAACATGCAAACAGTAAATGAACGTCAAGCACGCGTCACGTTTAATTTTTTTATTCTCTTCTCGGCTCTGCTTTTTTTTTGTTTTTGCTAGCTGGAAATGCAAAACAAAACTTGAAATTACACCTTTGACCGCGCTGGTTGATTTGATCGCATTGAGAGAAATGGAATATGTAAATTCTGAGGGGCTAGTCAAAAATGATGTCCAATGATTAGTTCGTTTATAACAAAATTGATGATATTGTCATCTTCAAATGAAGCAGGCTTCAAGAATCTTATCTTGTGTGTCAAGGTTTTCAGACTAAGACACTATCAGAAGTCGTTTGAAGTCTCCAGAGAAGTCAGACAAATTAGTGCGCTAGAAAAACAAATGTGGACATAATTCTTAAATCATCCCATAGCTTGCGAATAAACTTTTTTCATTGACGAGTGAAAAGTGTTAGGAACACACACAAAACGCTGCGTTGTAATCTACAACACCTGCTTTAAACTTGCTTACACCTTCAGGGTGTTCATATAAAATAATCAACATCAATTATAGAAGTGATTAATCACAATACAAACGAGATTATAGATATTATTAATTAATTTATATCCACATATACGCCTTTCAGTGCGACCAGAAAATGTTAAATGATATATTTTTATTTTTATATGATTTAATTTGTTATTATTAATTTTATTATAATGTATTCAGCTTTTATTGTCGTTAATATATCAATAGATGAATTCTTTTTTGATTTCCATGATAAAGTTTCGAACTGTTAATAAATTTTATATTGATTATCTTCATTGATAGTTTATTCATGTCTATCTGGCTCAATGGATTTTCATGTATGCATAATTATTATGTTTTGGAAAGGCTTGAAGTTTGTTTTCCTTCTGAGTTAAAAATTCGAATTTTCTGAAAACTTTAATGTATTCGAATCAAGGTCTGAAATTTTTAATTCTTTTGAGATCCAATTTTCGAATCAAAGTTCGAATTTTCGGATTATAGTTCAAATTTTTTAGTACTTTTCAGATTAAGTTTTAAATTTTCGAATCAAAGTTTAAGTTTTCTAAATAAAGCTCGAATTTTCGGATCAAAATTCGAATTTCGGATCAAAGACAAAGTTTGAATTTTCGGATCAAAGTTCGAATTTTCTGATAAAAATTTGATTTTTCGCATTTTGAGATTTAGGTTCCTATCATCAGCCATCCAACCCATCCATAATTAAATCAACAATCGTTATCATCAATAAAATCTGATACTGAATCACCAGCTAGCATGTAAACCGAGAGGTGTCTGCATTACTAATGCACATAAATATTATGACATGACATATATCTGCTTGATAAGCCATGCCATATAGTAATAAATCGTTGATGAGAGATGAAAGATGGGAGTGTGAGAAATAAAAAAAAAAGTCATAAGAATGCAATATATGCAAATTTATTAATTATCATGTAGAATTATTTATTTGTCGACTAATTTGCTTAAACGCTTTAATAGAGTCTTTGGATTATTTATTGAAAATTTATACACGACAAGCGCATATATTAAATTTTAACATTGTAAATTCATATCGAAGTTTGCCACTAACTTAGCAGGCAGTAGCACAAATCTGTAAGCGGCAGCGTGTGTGTTCGATTTTGTGACAGAATTGAGAGAAAAAAAAAATAAATCTTGTATTTCATGTTTTCAACTCTCAGCGATACTTTTTTTTTCATACTGAAAATTAGACTAGCTTTATGTTCATTAAATCTATAAATTAATAAATTACAGTTGAATAGATTTGACACGAGATCAAGTATTTAAGTATTTATGCTACCACATGAATGACAGTTTCCAACACTAAAAGTCAAATAGGAATTTTCTGCCTTAATTAGTTGGATCGGTTAGCAACGGTTGAGTTGAAATGAACTAAATTTAATCATTGCAAAATGGTCAATTTACATGAATTGTTGATTTTGTTGATTTAAGGCTTAATTGATGTAAATTTTAGATTTACAGATTAGTTTGAAATGATTTTTGTATGGGAATTGAAATTGGATTACAATTCTAGTTTTTGTGTAGGAATTTCCTTTGAATCAATTAAGAAATTCAATCTGTTGATTTATTTGGATTATTTTGGGTGATTGCTGATTGATATAATGAATATCCAGAAGAATTATAAGTTTATTATTTGGTAGGTTAGCACAGGTTAGCAATTTCAAAATGTTGATTTTTCTCTGTAGTTTCATCTGACAAATCTGCCTTTATATGCCCTAATTCAACTAGTACCACACTTCTATGGCTGCACAAGCTAAGTTTAAAAATTTTCAAAATTTAAAAAACCAAATTTCAATATTTAAAGTCTTCACAAATGTACAAAACTTAAAAAAATTCATTACAGAATTCATTTTCGTATGCCTTATGAGCATTAAGCATGCATAAAATTCACAAGCACAGAATGAGTCTAGAATAAATTTCATGAATATTTTATTCGATTTCATGACACAGCAGATTTTTTTGCACTCTCTCTCTCCATCCTACCATTCTATTATACCATACATGTTGTAAGTCTATGCACTTTACACATCCACATTACCTCAAATACATACTTTAAGTCGTCCACCGATGGATATATCATATACACCCATGACTTTTGAGCGAGAAATGGAAAAGAAAAATGAGGAAAAAAATATTTAATAATTCACAAAGTGCAATTTTTTTGTAGCACGCGATCACCAAGCAAAGAGAAAAAGCTGAAAAATAAAAAATTCAAACTGTTGAGTGAAGATAAAAAAAAAATCGGTCGAGGAGAAATTGTAAATAAACGTGAGCATAAAATTACATACAGTTATACAAGTTTATTGAAAGCGATATGCTGCATGCAACTCTGAAGAATTCTTTTTTTTTGCGTTATACGTTAAGTACTTCGCTCAGCACTTGATACGGACGAAAAATAATAATAATATGTGTTGACTTCCGCGTGCCAGGTTGATAATAATGATTCTAAATGCATTGAATTGATTTATTTGGGCCTGTTGGGTAGATAGTAAATTGGTAAAGGATGGTCATGATCGTTATGGGGCGAAAGCATGAAAACCTGTAAAAAATTACATGTTATGGTGAATTTTGTTGAACAGAAGCTTATGAACAATGATTTTTGATCACATGTCGACTGGAGTTGAGTTATGTGTCTCATTATGATGATGGCTCGAAGATATGAGTAGAAACTGAGAATCTAATCAAGGTGGAATTCAAGATGCTTTATGATGGCAAATCTGTCAGGGCAATGATAAGGCAACAATGGTCGAAAGGCTAAGCAATAGACATGAAAATTCTTGAACTCATATGAGAACATGAGTTCGATTCTCAACAGAAAATGGATATCTTAATTTTTCTTTAGTATAGAAATGTTTAACAATGTTAAATTTGAAGTATACCCAGGATATACCTCAGACAACCTTTATATACAAGCAAAAAGTATTCAAGGAATCAAGAGGCAAAGTTCTCAGACCAGATGGTTGAATAATAACTGCAATGTAGTCGTGGGAATTGAACCCTAATCAAGCAAAGCTAGAGGATATCCATGAGAGGCGTTCAACATCCTCAACTCAGTACAAAGCATCCACCGAGAAGTCCAATCATTCCAATCAGAAATCAATCTCTTCATTTTCGCTGCAATTTTAGTGTCAATCATTACAAATAATTATTGCACAAAAGTGAAACAAATAAATTTATGGAATGCATCATCATCGTCTTGCAATTTACAGCTTTTCCTCCCCAACGGGTGGTCACCAATAAATATTTATCGACTGAAATTCAATAAATAATTTATTTCTTTTTCATTCTGTAACCGCTTAAGTCTCTTTACAAATTGATATCAATTTGATAATTGTTAGTTTTCTTAAAGGCATGTTTAACAACATCCATAAATGGTCGAATGTTTTCACAGTCTGTGGAGATACGCGCGTTGTGCTATGTCCATGGAAATACATCATGAAAGAAAGAGTGATAATTTTTCAATTAGTTGACAGACTCTTATCATAATTTGAGCATAAATAATCTTTGTATCAATTTTACGTTTATAAAATGTGTAATATTTAATGACACGATGCAGCTTTTCAGGAACATGCTTGATCGAATTATTTTTTATATTCGTGGGGTTGATTGAAATGTTACATCGAACACTTTTCTGAACAATGTTGAGATAATTATGTAAATATGTAGATAAAATTAACAATAAATTATTGCTTGCATCGATAAATTGGATAAATTATGACACACGAGCCTTGTTTCAGGAACAAACAGTTTACTTCGTCGTTGTAATTTTTAATTTATTTAAATGCTGAATTGGAAAATTATGAAGCAATGAAGTAGTGAAGTTGATATGATGGAATTTAATTTTAACGGTTTTGTGAGATTTGAATTTTAACAGTTTTGTGAGATTTGAATTTTAACGGTTTTGTATAGGATTTTATAATTTTACATTCTCAAAATCCCAGAAGCTTTAACTCATGATTCTGCGAGATTATCTAAAAATTCCAGTTATTATCCATAATTACCAACCAATTCGACCACCAACATCAATATCTCAAGCAAAGTGCATCATCCACCAAAACAACTTCTATACAATCATTCACAAAGTAATAAGACTTGTCCTATGACAGCTATAATCATCATTTACCGTCCCAATAATAAATAATCTCAGACAACGAGCTGCTGAGTACACAAAAAGGCAAAAAAGGAGTAAGATTTGCAGACAGGAGGAAGTGACATTTAGTAAATATACTTTCTTTGTTCATGAAATGGAAGTAAACTGTTGATCAGAAAAGATTTATGTGTCTGCCTTAAAATAGTTTTTTTTTTCGAGAAATGAAAAGTTTTCTTTTCTCAAAAACTTAATTTACGGATAATGAAAAGCTTTTTTTGCTGGTTTTCATTGTATTCATTTTCACTTTTCCTTTTTTTTGCTGTAATTGGGTTGTAGATAGAGGAGATTGTGCATTAAGTCTGTAATTTATTTAATAAGATTTGGGAAGGTTTATTGTGTTGATCAAATTTTTGATTTTCTTTTGGGGGTTGTTGAACTTTTGATGACTTGAAGTGATTTTTCAGCTGATTCATATTCGTATTGTTCGTTTGTATGATTTTTTTTTTGCATCTTGTGCACTGAAATGATAACATAAGACTATAATGAGAGCTGGAAGCTGATTATCGCTTCTCCCAAAGTCAATTTTTCGAAATTATGATCACTACTAGATGTTGATCCTAAATTGGTACCAAAGTGCTGAACCAAAATATTACCAAGTCACACTAGCTCACTAAAATGACTCTATAGTTCACAAACTTTATTTTGAAAAGATATACGATGTATAATTTTATGACATATCGTGAATATCCTCAAAAAAACTTTCCGTCGACATTTCTTCTTTCAAAAACATCAAAATAAATCCAAACAAAAGTTTTATATCCAACAACAACTTTCACAGTCTTGATGACGCAAATCAAGCATATTAGTCATTCACCTCAGTTGATTTTTCATTCAAGTTTCGTATCTCTTATCTTATCTATTAAAATTCTACACAAACTTATCTTTTTTTCTCATAATTCAGTTAATTTATTTGCATCTTAACCTTAAAATTATCATCATTTAAAAAATGATTTAAAAAAAATTTTGTATTTGCAAAAATTTACAAACGTGAAATTCTTCACTTATGATGTCCATCAATTTTAGGATTGATGTAGGACGTGTTTCAATTTTGAACAATGCTTGCAGGAATTTGAAAAGTCCTGATACATAAAAATAAGTAAATGACCCCGAAAAAGTAAAATAAAATTAAAAAGATGTGCTTAAACCTTCCTAACAAGCTTAAAAAATTGTTGTGTTTGCTCTGGCCTCCTGATAATTGCTGCCAGCTGAACTGTATCTCATTTCGGAGTTGTATTTGGCGTCACACTTTGGATTTTTAATTGTTGCAAATTCTTCATATCGACTTTACGCTCCAGCAGAGTCATTCGATTTGTTAAATTGCGCTCCATTGTCTCAATGCGCTGATAAATTTTCGAAAACAGTCCTATAGATTCTAAATTGAAAATGAATTTTTTTTTCCAATTTCCAAAAAAAAAAAATTTGTAAGGAACGAGGAAGAAAAAGTTAAAAAATTAATCGTAAAAATTATAAAAGTTTTTTTAATGGAAATCATAAAGTCAAAAAAATTGAGATTGGAAGTGGAAAAAAGAGATCAAGAAAGAAGAAAAAAGAATATTTTTTTAGTTCATTCATTGAACATAAACAGAAAGAGAATTTAAAGCATGCAAGAAGAAATGTCTGACTCTTACGTTGTTGGAGAGAGTTTGCTTGCGCTTGATCGGCAGCTGGCTTTGTTGGTGTCTCGCTCTTAATCTCCGTTTTGACGCGTTTTATTTTCAATATTTGTAGCAGCTCATTCACTGCTGATTGTGGAATTTTAAATGTTTTTGCCCAATCCATGATCTCTTGGACTGTTATGTCTGCGGAACTCCTCAATTGTGTATTGCTTGTCAATAATTCCTCAAATGGCTCCAATTTGATATTGATTAGCTCATCAACTTGTTGATTATCATCTTTGGTACGAGTGATTGTTATTGGAACTGACACAACTGATGGTGCATAGGATGTTGGAGTTGGTGACGGTGCTACAAGTTGTGTATTGCCTGTTATTATTATTGAATCGCTTGCCTTGCGCTTCTTTATGTTTATATTCTGTTTGTTTATTGGCGTTATTGTTATATCCTTATTTTCAATTTCATTTAGTATCTAATTTTAGAAACATTTTTTTGGGGAGAGAGTGAGAGAATAAAGTAAGCATAAAATATCATTTAGAAGTTTGTATGAGATTGTAGAGTTACTGCAGAGTGGGATTTAAGGTATCAAGATGGGATATTGCTGTGAGGGAGATGTGAATTGGTTTAGTAAGATTAATTGAGTTACTACTGGGGGTCCTCGGTTTGTATAGGTGTTTTGTTCCAGGAAAATCCAGCTCAAATCAAATTATTACTTTTGGTACGAAAAATGTCCGTTACAAAATTTTTTTTTAAATTTTCTATTCATTAATTTTCGTTACTCAAGTCGAGGACTCCTAATATTTAATTCTCTTAACCCTTCAGCGTTCGGAGTGCTTTTAGGGTTTCCCTCAGTACCTTACTAGTTATAGCCAGTCTTAGTTCAGCTCACGAGTAGCTTTTAATATCAAACTAAACTTAGACAAACACTCTAAAGTGTGAAAAGCTCCTCTGTGACCGAGGGATTAAGAAGTTGACCCGATATTAATAACTTTCTTGAATAAAATGGAACAAGTTCGATTCCCACCAAAAGTGAACATTTCAATTCGTTTCCTACAATGTTATAAATATGCTAAATAAACTTCAGTTTGTATATCTCAAAAAAGAAAAGAAGATCAAAAATATTGAGAAGCAAGTCAGCAAGAAAAATTGAGTTCTTATTTGAGAGGAATGAGAAAAAAAAGAGAGAGACAAAAAAATAAGCAACAGCGCCACACAGACATGATTCACATGACGGAAAGAGATCTCATTTCATCGCATTATCTTCTCGTTTCAACATGAATGCCTACAATATGTGTGTACACACATTGTATATCTTCTCGTCCATCGATTTCTCTCTCAATGCTTTTACTCTCTGAGTGAGAAATTCCTTTTGTGATATCTTCACTGCTTCAGCAAGTAGCCACCTCAGAGAAAAAAAATATATACTTTTTTTTGTTGAACGTACAATCGAGAAGAGGAAGAAACACACGGTGAAATAAAAATTGTTATGTGAAGAATTAAATAAACATTTTTTTCGGATCGCATGTCTCGTAAACAATTTTGTTCTACGCTTTTTTACTTCTCCCGTTCAGAAATTCAATTCTTCTTTTTTCTCGGCAAATTCTCTTCATATGAAGTGCTCTTCGAAGTCGCTCCGCTTTTGCCTGTACTTTCTGTGCTGTATTTTCTTTTGATTCGGGAATGGAAAGAAGTAAAGAAGAAAAAAAATCGACATTCGACATTGTGTGGAAAAATGTAATGTTAAAACAAATGTCTCTGAAAAGAAGAAGGCATAGCATAAAAAAAGCGAGTAAGCAATTCCATAATTTGAGAAACTTTTGCTGCTCTTCTTCCCCCTCCTGTTTTGCTTCTTTACTTTTTTTTTAGTTCCTCTTCTTTTAAAAATTCAAACAGACTTGAAAATGAGTTCATAATTTTTGGAATTTCATTATGGAAAAAAAAATATAAGCAGTGGATATAAAATAAAACTTTTTTTTTGCTGCTTGTTGTTATGTCGGGTGGAACTAGAGACAGAGGAAAAGAGAGAATGATTGAATTTGAGAAAGAGAAATAGAGACATTGCACGGCAACAATGAAGGGAAATCGATAAACAAAAAAAAAGTCATTCCCTTCCTATGATTTTGTATGAATACTTCTGGTGTATGTTCTTCTATGAGCTGCTATGAACTTGTAGGAACTAGTTTGATTTTTTTTTTGTTTTGCGAGAATTAAGACGCATTTATTGGTTAACATAACTGAATGTTATATTTTCAACACATGAGAACAAAAAGAGGTTGGGGCAGTGGAGGGGAAGGGCTGTTGTGCAAAAAAGTAAACGGGATTAGTATGTTAGTCTACAATCAAGTATCAACAATCTATAGAAGCAAAAAAGAAGTAAACATTACAGTTCAGAAAAATATAAATTAGATTTATTATGAGATTCGAACTCATGATCTAACTCTATTTCGCTAGCAAGCCTTATAAAAATCTATTTTAACTTTGATAAAAGTAAGACTTAAACAAATAATTCTTGATGTTCTTGGACCATTTCCTTATAATTTACAATTTCAAAACCTTAAATTGTTTTAAAATCTAAAACTTTAAATTCCCAAAAACTCGTGAACTAGTAAAACTCATGACAATAAGTCATTCCATCAACAATCCATCCCATATTTCACACAAGCAATCCCCTTCCGTTCCAAAATAAACATTGCACAAGAGAAAAAAAAAACCGAACTCATAATGAATTGCACGTCTATGTACTCACCGATGCAATATCTTTATCTTGAAAATCTTCCTTCCATAATTTGAGAGCTCGCTTTTCGACATCTGTGAGTTTTTGTAATGCAAGCTTATCATCAACTCCCGTCTTACCATCCTGAATTTGTTTCAATTTCTTTGCTCGTGTACGTAATTGTCCTTTCCAATTGTAAAACACCTGAACGGAAGATGAGTTGGATATACCGGAGAATAAATGAATGAATATTAAATATTTGCGGCATATGCAATATGCAAGCTGTACATACCATCTTCCATTCGTCGACAGTTTTCTTTGGTCCGAGTGTGGCATTGAGCAATTTTGTAAGTGACTTCCAATTTTCTTCATACTTTGCTTCACCTGATACACATGCATGAGACAGAAATAAAAACAAAAACAAAAAAAAAAGAAATGATAATTTAAGAATAAGAAGAGATATCGGAGTCACAGTCAAGAGTAATAAAACATCCGATAATTCTCAAATATGGTTAAAGCAACGTAAGAAAAAATGTAGAAAATCAACATGAAACAAAAACACAAAAAAAAGGCAACAACGACTCACAATCTTTAATTCGAGCTGCCGCGAAATCGGTATGATCCATTAAATAAATAAGGTAAACTTCTTGTTGTGAAGTTGTGATTCTCTGCTGTCGCATATTCATTTTGGAATCGATATTCTCACGTCAATTGCTTCTCAATTATGCGTTTCTATTTGTTTATAGACTAACAATTGTTGTCTAAATTCAATTCTTAATGACTTTTATTGTGAATTAAATGTAGTAAAAAAATATATAAAAAAAAAATTTTATATTGTATTAAATACAATTTTTTTCACTTTTTAAGAGAACTTTGTCACTTCACACTCTAAGAGACGCTTGAGCAAAACTAGCAAGACTCTTTTTTTAAACAAAACTGTACGATGTGCGCAGAGAATTTCCAACAAATTTTCAAAGAGAGAAGAGCGAGAAATCGATATTGAAATTTTTGCTGTCTTCTTTGCCTTTTTCGTCTTTTTTGTGTACGTTGGGTGATGAAATTCTTCTCTCTTAATGAAAATAGAGTCTCATTGCTCTCTCAAAATGTGAGCGTTGCGTGTGTAAATACAAAAAAAAATTGTTGAGCGAGAGAACGAATGAGTTTTGTTTTTTTGGAAGTTCTGCACACATTTTCATGCTTGTTATTTAAACTTTATCAATTACATTTATTTTCAACACAAAGATAAATGGCATGGATATTTGAAATTAAAATCGACTCTACTCGCGCTCACAGTGCTCATGACATGAACGATATTTATTTATTAATTTTTTTTTTTGGATGTGTGTAGGTTTTTCTAGTTTATTGAATAATAATATAATTTTTTTAAGTCACTTCTTCTTGTCTCGAATGTATTAAAGTTTATCGAGTATGAAATTTTCACACGCTCAAATGCGGGCTTCCATTTACTTCTGTATCAATTTAAATACTTTATACTCTCTCATTTAGACTTGCTTTGTACTTTTGCTTCTCTTTAAATCTACAATCAAAAATTAAATATTGATTCATTTTTTTTTAAACTAAACTGCTCTCTGTGCTGTGCTTTGCTGTGTGCTATGATATGTTTTTCATTTCAGGGTTGTTGATCTGGTTGATCGGGTTGCTTCCGGATTTAGATCTTGTTAAGAGTTTTGTTTTGTTTTCGTGCTGAATTCGTGAGAAACTTAATAAATAAATAAGAGGCTGAATAAAATAATTTTTCAGCTTGTTTGATGTCTACGATAATTTTAGACTTACGATGGATCTGAGTATTTACTATTTCAAGCGAAATATATCCAATTCTGGCTTCGTCTGTGATTTACATCTTATAAACCTTTACCGACACATTTTAGTGGATCCAAAGAGCTTTTAAGTCACGACTAGCTATCTTTTCACTCTGTCCCAGAAGTTCGTTCCAAATCTTCCTTTCATATCCAACAACTCTGTCTCCCATATCTATACATAAAATATTAGCTCAATGTCACATTTACCACATCCAAGCTGCTGATGCTGTTAATTAAATGTAGATAATTATGACTTTAATATACGCACATACATACAATGTAGTCAGCATCAGAGATACGCATGAAATAATTAATAAAACCAGCTTCTTATTCCTCAATAACATCATGACTTATTGCATTTAGTATCATCACTTGGTATTGCGTACATAACTAAGCATTCACACTACTTTGAATCACTGCCATCGTCGTAATCATCCGCTTTACTCATAAAGCGTGTTTGGATACTTTTTTCTTTTTCAAATGATGTTATCTTTATGACTTATTACAGGTTTTTAAGGGTCGCAATGGAGAAAGATTTGTGCCGCTTCAGGGCCACTATAAAAAAATGTTTTTTTTTGTTGCTCCTCTCTTCTGCTCTATGGCTCTTTTCCGAGCTCGTATATTGCAACAAATTCTTTTCCCTTCCTTCTCGTTCCATAAATCCGATATAAAGTTCTTTTTTATTCTCTTTTTTTTTTTGCTTTATCTACTTTACTTCTTGTTCTGAGCAAGCAGAAACAACAAAAAATAAAATAAGTTAAGGAATTTGAAGTGTGGGCGATTCTGTGAATGATAAAGTTTTTGGGTGACTTCGAATGAAGTATATATGTTGATAAGAATACATTGTGTTCGTGTGGACAAACATTTTGATACACATATAGGATATCTAATTTGTTATTCATGTTGTGCAAAAATTATTCATTTTCTGCGAATGCTATCTATTAATTTGAATTCCACATAATCCACATTTAGTGGAGTTGTACATGAATTATACAAGAGTTACTGATGAGTAATGAATAACGCAATATTTAAATTTGATGGATTTTTCAATGTTTTAAGTTTGGTGAACAATTCGAGATTTTTACTTGATGTTTGTGTATGGGTGGGTGGTTCAAGATGTTCCTGAGCCCCTCTCAAGATTGAAATTAGGATGGTGTCTAGCAAAAGTACTCCATTCAAAGGCATTAGTCACTAAAGTTATCAATAGGTATCGTACCATTCCTACCATGATCAGTAATTATTTCTGCCCAACCTGGGTAAATCTCAAAACCCATTAAGACACCAAATTCAGGTCAAATTAAATTTTCTAAATCTTAATCAACTGCACAAATGAAACCCAATTCATCACTCAAAACTTAACAGCACTTTTTCTTCCACAATTACCTTCCAGAATTACCCGCACATAAAATACAATGCAAAGTGTAGCAAGTCATGTAAGAAATATGAACGCTTACATCAAATTCTCATATCATGCGAGGGCAAAGAGAGACGAATGAGAAGAGAAGCAGTATAATTAAATAAAGTTCTCATCCATGCCTATTATAATGCTAAAGAATTGACTAAAAGAATAAACAATTACCGAAAAAAATATACAAATTCTGTTTGCTATATCATGTGAGACTAATTTAAATAGTCTTATTCATTTTTGTACGGTTCCTTTAAATTATTTTAGTTTACTTATGTGGTGAGACTTGCAGTTGCAAACAAAAATATTACAAAGGTCGCTGTTTTTCATCGGACATGCTTGATGAATCTTTCATGATATGAATTCTCACTTAGTTAACAAAATAAAGTTTAAATGATCTTGAGAAAGGGTGAATGGAGATTATGAAGTGAGTTAATTTGGTCAATTTGTTCATATTTTTAGTGGATTGGATGCTTAAGTAGTTGTGAAATCTTGGAATCATGTGGTGACGATTCTGCCATTGCGATAGTAAGGGCTCTATGACCCAGTGGTTATGCCATACAACAAACATCTGTAATCTAATCTTAAGTGAAAGCGTGGTTCAAATCTCATTAGTAATTTCTTAATTATTATGTATAATGCTGTGTCGATATGACTTGAGTTTGTGCAATTCTTATGACACTATAGTGCTAGTTCCTAGTTATTGAGAAACTGCTAGGGATTTGTCAGAGAAACCTAATTGTCAAGACTCACCCTTCACTTTATGTTATGAAGTATCTTGACAAATTTACAGCTAGACACTATAAAACAATGCGTCCAAACTAAAGTCGCTACCAAGACGTCAAATGTTTATGCAAAATCAATCAAAGACATTACTGCTTAATCTGTCAACAATTAAGTCATTCAAAACTTTGTAAAAATAATCCGAATTAAGCATCAAAAATTGAATTAAATTCTTCATTAAATCAGTTCAAATTTCACAATTCCTGCAATAAATTCAAACAATTTATCATCCATTCTATTCAATAAAAATATTCAAAGCGTCCAAAAATTATTCTGATTTCATTAACAGATGTTATGAAAAAATAAAAAAACAATCCTATGTTTAGCCATATATGTATAAAGCAGCATTTAGTATACATACACATGCCGTAGATACAAGAAGAAGTAGCGAATTTTTGAGTACATTATTTTATGTATATGAATGTTAAGTTAACAATAGCAATAAACTTATTATTTAAGTAAATAAAATCGAGGTGAGGAAGTTCATTGAATAAAAAAAAGTAAGCGAGTGAGAGAGTGAGAATAGCGGCAGCAATAGAATCAAACGAGGGAAAAAAAGAATGAAATAATAATTGTTTAGAATTGTGTCTGGTCACACACACCGCATATAGCAGGCAGCAGAGAACACAATTGAATTGGCTGGAAAGGTCAATAATCTCAGGCACCTATCATTCTGCTTACTGTCATCATCCCACACCACAAATATACATACGCTCGGTACTACTTCAATAATACCAATGCTTCCATTTACAAATTGGCAAATCTCTGTTCTATACGCTTTCAAATTGTCGTTTTCATGTTCTTATGTACATTATTTTTCTTCCTTTCTTTCTTATTTTCTCTATAAAGCAATGACAATCGCAAGTTTGCATCTATTGAGACACAAAAAGTAGTCGTTCTTGGCTAGGAGTCATTAGCAATTACGGCCGATATTCAAAAGGGGTTCTTAGCATGATGACATCTAAAAATCCAGAGTATTTGAGACGATAAGGTAGAGTGGGGTCTAATTCATGAAAAGACATCATTTATGGATGACCCACAAATATTATAGTTCTCCTTCTTTATGGTTCAACTACTTCTGCTCGTGTGCATTCACTGCCATTTAGTAAAAACTTTTACGAATTTTTGTCTTCATTCAACAAAAAACAAAATTTATAAAAAAATAGTTTTTCTTATTCAACTTTTGGATTTTCTTGATTTCAATTCTGAATCGAATGGGGTTGAAGTGAATTGTTTGGCTAAAAGTCTTGTTTGTTTACCTGTCTGATAGATCGATTATGTACAGGTTGATGTGAGTTGATTTATGAGTTGAAGTATAGCTTGGATAATATTAGTATGATATTGATATGGTATTACGAACTAAGCATTGAAAATAGTGGTCTTAGTTAATTCTTTTTAAAAAAAATATTTAAAAATAATTCGAAATTTAAAAAAATCTGCACAATGATATTGAATTATTAAGATAAAATTATGGGAATCAAACCCATGGTTTTTGAACTCAAATAGTATTGACTGTTGGTAAACAATGACTGTATAGTCTTTATTTATAAAATTTAATTCAAAGTTAATTTAGCAGTATGAGTATAAGAAGCATATAACTTTTTAAGGGAATTAAAGATTGAGTTTTCAGCATCAATTTAAAAATTTGGTGGGGTTTTCAGACCTATTTCAAAGGTTTTATCTCAAATTAATTCTATGAGTTGGAGCTAATGATCCATATTATAACTTTATAAATTCTAAAATGCGTTGTCTTATTACTCTCA